AATCTGTTCCTGTTCCTTTTTAAGCCTCCATTTTTTTTAATTCTCCAGGTATCTGGTACTCCTCCGATTAGTGATGAGTTTGATGGCTCAGGTATGTTTGAAGGCTCTGGGCTGTTTGAAGGCCCTGGGGAAGACTTTGAGGGCTCTGCTGGAGAGGATGGAGGTGATGATGATGATGAGGAAGGTCCTGTGTATTTTTTCCTGGAAGAGAGTACCGGATACATGCAGCCCACTTTGTCCTGCCTGGCAATTGTGCACACCATCATTGCTTTCTTATCTATCATTGGATACAACTGCCTCAAGGTTTGAACCACTAGATTTACATTTTAGCAATTGAACTTGTCATTATCAGTCTTGATTCAGGTTGTTTTTATTAATTCTGAATATGTGCTGTCAATAAGTTATCATGATGTTGTGGTCTGTTAGATTCCACTGGTTATCTTTAAGAGAGAGAAAGAGCTGGCAAGAAAGCTGGAGTTCGATGGGCTTTACATCACTGAACAGCCGGAAGATGATGACATCAAAGGCCAATGGGACAGATTGGTGCTAAACACACCGTAAGTGTGGAGAAGTCTTCATTATGGAGCTGTTTCTCAAAAGATATATCTGGTTGACTAAACTGAAAGTTGAGCTAGATTCTGTTTTGTGGTCAAACTGGTTTTGCACATATGTGGTCCCATAATTATGTCTCCTTAGTAGACTAGTAAGTGTTCATTAGCAGACCTATCCATTTGTATTTGTATTGTTTTCCTTGGAAAAATTGTAATTAAAACTCTTTATCATTGTTTTAGCTCCTTTCCCACCAACTACTGGGACAAATTTGTTAAGCGAAAGGTAAACCGATATTCTTCCTGTTCATTGGTGTGTAGGTTTAAAATCAGTGTGTTTATGAAGCCATGTTGTTCTCGTTTCCTTTGGCAAGGTTCTGGATAAATACGGAGATATTTATGGTCGTGAGAGAATCGCAGAGCTGCTGGGTATGGATCTGGCATCGCTGGATGTCAGCAAACAACAGACAGACAAGAAACCC